TCCTCCCTCCCTCACGCCCCTCATTCTCTCCATCTCCTCCCTCTCCCCACTCTCCGTTTTATTTTCCCAAGTTCTAAAATCTCTCCGAACTGACTCCCCTTCATCCTCCGGCCCGTAATGGCCTTTGGACACCTTTGACCTTTTCCGGCCCGGGCAGCGAAATTTCCGTTTTATGCTCCTCCGCCTTTTGTTTATTCCCGCCGCGGGCACAGCTTGTCAATTGTCTCGAGGGCTTTTTCCCTCTCCTTCCCTTCGGCACTCGCGTCGCTCTCCTTCCCCCTTTCCCCGCCCCCGCACTTCGCAAAAAACTCACCCCTCTCGCCTTCACCCCTACGCAAAAAAAAAAAAAAAGAACTCGAAGTTCCCTCTTCCTTCCCTTCTCGCAGCGACTCGCGTTCCCTTTCGCCTTCCCCCTTCGCAGCTCGAGCTGCGTCCCTCTCCTTCCCCTTCGCAGCTCGCGTCCCTCTCCTTCCCCTTCGCAGCCGGCATCTCCTTGCTTCGCAGTCTCGCGTCCCTCTCTTCCCTTCGCAGCTCGCGTCCAGTCAGAGCGACACTCCCAACTCGGGAAAAGCTCGAACTTTTGAACTTGTCAAGGGTGTCCTCAGGTCAACGACGGCCGCTTCAACCCTCGGTGGGCGTGCGGGCGTGCGTGCGTGCCTGTGGGCGTTCGTGTGGGCCGGGTGTTTGAGGCTGAGGTGTTTTGCTTTTCCTCTTTTTTTTTTTTTTTTTTTTTTTTTTTTTTTGGCATGCTTGGGGGTTGAAGGTTGTGAGTGTGCTTTCAGAAGGTGTAAAGTCCGTGAACTTGTGAGGTCAACAAAAAGCCTTTTTTTCCCTCCCAACTATTAAAAAAAAATAAACAAATTCAAGCATCAACAGTTTATCAAAAACGCTTCGAAATACACGCATCAAATCCCGGTCAATTTTTTTTTTTTTTTTAAAGGAGTTTCCCCTTCGGTATATTCCGTTTTCTTTAGCGTGCCGCCCCGAGTTCCAACGCTAATGGGGCGCAACATTTCCAAAAAAAAAAAAAATAAAAAATTCCCCATGTTAATGCAATAGCTCCCTTCCCCCCTCTCCCCTCCCCTTCCCTAAAAATAAAAAAAAACACCAGTTTCATGATCGTGTAATTACTGAACACACTGGGGAGATCCAGGGAAGCAATCACCTGCAAACTAGAGCGTAAAGGAATTTTCAAGATCGTCAAAATTTGTTAAGCCGGTAATTTCGTATGCAGGGAAAGGCTGGTTGCAGGTCACGCCCCTTTTTTTTTTTTTTTTTTTACGAAGGGTCGGAGTCGCTGGAACAAATTGACTGGGATCTGACAGGCTGCTGGAACAATGGAGGGAAGCCGTGACGTGGATAAAAAAAAAAAGATAGATTAAACAGAGATTGATTAGTTAATGAACTCTTGTTGGAGAATACTGATACACGGGATGATATAAAGGCTTGTGGTGTTGATATAAACTTTTAATCTCAAGAGAAGGCATTTTGCGGGGAAGGTATGATGTCCAGGAAGGGAAAGAGGAAGAGGAGAGAAGAAAAAAAGAAAATAGAACTTATTGTCTCTCACTTTCTCTCTATCTAAATTCTATTCTCTATCCCTATCTTATCTATCTATTTTTCTCTCGTATTCATCTATTTCTGCTCTCGTATTTCTCTCTCTCTTCCATAATTTTCTCTCCTCATCTCATTTCTCCTCGTTTCCTCTCCTTTTTTCCTCGGGCAGTCTCAGTCTCATCTCGCTTCCTCTCGACACGTCTCCGGTCCTCGATCAAGATCCGACTCCTCCTCTATCCTCGTCTCGCTCTTCTCTCCCTCTCTCTCTCGCTACCGCTAGAATACGCCAGCTCTCTTCACCATGCCGTCGATCATCTCTCTGTATATCCCGTCTCTAGTGTCCGTCTCTCATTCATCATCCACATCTCTCCCTTCTCTCTCTCACTCCCTCACTCTCCATCCTCCCTCCTCTCTCCTCGCCTTCGCGCCTGTCCTCTCTCCCTCCTCCCTTCTCTCGGCTCCTCTTCTCGCTTCGAGTCCGCTGGGCTTGCATCCGCCTTCTTTCTCGTCATGCCTCCTCTCGTCCGTCAACTCTCTCCTCCCGCCGATTGCCTTCTCTCTTCCTCCCCCCTCTCTCTTCCACCCGCTCTCCTCCTCTCTCCTCCATCCGCCCTCCGTCCCACCGCGTCTTTCGGCCATTTCACTAGACTCGCGTTCTACCGCTGACCTCATCTCTCTTCTGCATCTCACTCTCCCTCATCCGCTCTTCCCTCTCGCTCTCCCCTCCCTCTTGCCTCCCATGCGCACCTGCCTCCCTCTTCTCTTTCTCCCTCATGCTGTGTAGG